AGGTTGTCAGAGGCAGTAAATTGTACGAGAGGAGAATGCCCGTCTTTTTTCGTGGAACCGCTTGTGTCTTTGAAGCACAGATGTTTTGGTCGGCAACTCAGCTCCTTCCCACTTGCTTCCATCTTAACCCTGAAGCTTAGATGGTTTTTTAGGGGGAGAAAGAGAAAAAAAGCTTTGGAGAAAATGTTGGTATTAATGAAATTGAATCCATAGATTTACTTAAGAATGAGCCATGAAGTAGTTTTCTTTAACTTGGGTTTTTATGTGGGAAAATTATAAAGAGTGGAGTTATTCGCAAGGCCTGAGTCTAGTTGGCTGTCCGTCACTGTCTTCAGGCAGCACATTAGGACTTACTGCAGCTCAGACACTTATCTTCTAGGTAAATAAATTCAGGGAGGGTTGGGTAAAGTCTGGAAGCTATTTGTGAAATGAAGCATGCAATGATGTGAACTTTGAGAAGAGTGCAACTGCCCTACAGGAAAATGCAGATGCTTACTACAGAATTTTAAAAGACACACAGCCTTCTCCAACAGGGTCAAAAGGGAATCCACAGACTGAGAAAAAAAATATTTGACAATGACTAGATAAACAACCCAATTGAGAAAGGGATACAGGATATGAACAGACACTTCACCAAAGAAGATATTCAGATGGCAAACAGACACATGAAGAAATGTTCAAAATCCCTAGCTCCAAGAGAGATGCAAATCAAAACAGCTATGAGATATCATCTCACCCCAGTAGAATAACACAATTGAACAGAGCAATAAATAGCAAATGCTGGCGAGTTTGTGGAGAAACTAGAACCCTTATTCACTGTTGGTGGGAGTGTAAAATGGTGTAACCACTATGGAAGGCAGTATGGCGCGTTCTCAAAAAGTTACAAATAGAAATACCATTTGACCCTGCAATTCCACAACTGGGAATATACCCCAAAGAAACCATAACTGCCACCCAAGCAGATAGATGCACATCCATGTTTATCGTGACTTTGTTCACGATAGCAAAGAGCTGGAAACAAACTAAGTGCCCATCAAGAAATGAAAGGATAGAAAAGCTCTAGTATCTGGTGGCCTAGTGGTAAGGAGCTGCAACTACAATCCCAGAGGCTCATGGTTCGAATCCACCAGCTGCTCTGCCAGGGAAGGAGGGACAATCTCCTCCTGTACCAGTCAGATCTGATTTGACGGTACACTCACACAAAAATAATAAAATAAAAATTAAAAAA